CAAAGCCAATCCATTTTCTGGTTGTATCTTACTACTCTCTGTGCTGGCCCAGCTCCTCCGTTCTTTCCCCCAATTCCCTCCATAAAGCAACTGGGAGAGGAGAGAAAGGAATACTATAGAGTGTCACTTGTGTGACAGCACTAATGCAGGCCATAGATTGGGAGAAAACCATCCGTTTTGTTTTTTTTTTTTTTTAAACGAAAAATCGGTCGTTCAATCAGCCGACATTACCACTATTGGTAAAAAGAAAAAAAAGGTCGGCTGATTTTCGTCCCATCTACGGCCAGCAATTATATAGAATATATGCAGAAGAAGAAGAAATAGAATATGCAGAAGAGGAATATGAAGGAGAAATAGAATACGAATAAAAAGAAGAAATAGAATATGCAGAAGAAGAAAACGTTGCAACATTGTATCTATTTGTATGCATTTCGGATACAGATGTTTCTATTTGGATACAAATATATACAATGTTGCTATACTTTTAAATGTCAAATATAATATTGGACTGAAATTCTTTTTTTTTTTTCTTCTTCATGTTCTATTTCTTCTTCTTCATGTTCTATTTCTTCTTTTCATTCATATTCTGTTTTTTTTTTTTTTTTTTTTTTTCTTTTCCTTCTTTCATGTCACTGCTCATGCGCATTTTTAAATATCATCAAAAGATCGTCAAACTTGTCCATCATTGCCGCGAAAATCGTCAGAACAACAAATTTGGCCGATTATTTTCCAGCAGGACCAATAATCTAAAAGGTCAAAAATCACGAAAAACGGCCCGCCTCGACCGATTACCGCACTAACAATCCAAAAATCTGCTGATTTTTTTTTTTTTTTTTTTTTGGTCGTTTTTCATCTCATCTATGGCCCGCATAAGTGTGCTGGGGCTGCTGACGTTACTTCCCAGAAAGCAGTGCCCAGCAGGTCTCAGGACATTTAGATGACTGCACAATTTGGGGGGTATATAAAGGTAAATAACGTGCATAACCTACTTTTACATGCATATATAATCTTATGGGGAGATTGTTATTAAAATGATTGTTTTGGCGACAGGGTCTCTGTAAAAATGTTTTCAGGTTGAGTGCAGCTCAGTTATTTGTAAATGTAACACATTCAGGTATTTACTAGTTTTCATAGAGATGTCACCTTGACAACTCTTCCATCTGTTCTTCCTTCCAGCATCCTGGATTGAGATGTAGATCATTCACTCCTATGCATTGTTTTGTTCTGTAGGCACCTTTTTTAGTTTGTTACATTTTATATGTGTTACCAATGAAATTTTTGTTTTTGCTAGAAACCAGAGAAACAGCACACAGATCTTTTATTTCCACACACTTCACCTAAAACATACAGGGTATTAGACAGATATACCATGCGTTCTTACTAATCCTTAACCACTTCCAGTCCGGACACTTTTACCCCTCTCCTGGCCAGGGCAATTTTCAGCTTTCAGCGCTATCACACTTTGAATGACAATTGCGCGGTCATGCAGCACTGTACCCATGTGAATTTTTTACCATTTATTTTGAGACAGATAAATTTATTTTGGTGGTATTTATTCACCGCTGGGATTTTTATTTTTTTTTGCTATGTAAATCAAAATGTCCAAAAATTAAAAAAAAAGTGTTTTTTCTTATAAAATTTTGCAAATAAATAATATTTCATCATAGATTTTGGCCAAAATGTATTCCGTTATCTTTTTAGTAAAAGACAAAATAAGCCAAATTAGTTTATAACCAAAAATTATCATTTTTAAACTTTTTTTTTTAATTTTTATTTTTTTTATATTTTTTTCATACTGTCACCATAGCAGTACACTGTCACCATGGTGACACTGTAATGCTTTTGGGGGGTGATGAAGATTTTTTTTTTTTTTTTTACAAGGATTGCTTTTACACCCATATAGGATGTAAAAGCAATAATTTCTTTCTCTCTGTCTACGTTCTTGCCGCCATTGAGAACTACTGAGTGAGCTGTGATTGGTCACAGCTTGTCACGTGGTACAAGGCTGTTGTGAATAGCCTTGTACCATGTGACCTCTGTGATCATTCACAGATTTCACACGTAGTAAGCAATGATGTCAGAAGTGACATCTTGCTTACTACTTTGCATGTGATCACTGATTGGCCAATCAGTGATCACATGATCGGGACCTCGTACAGAGGTCCTGTCCATGATCTGTGTTTCACTGTGTCCGGAGGACACAGCGGGCACCGGATCGCAGTGCTGCACGCTCACAGGGAGCGCGCACAAGCAGGGTGCAGGGAAGGCCATTTATAAACGGCCACCCGACCCTGCAGTGCCACCCTCCGGCCGTTTTATATACAATGGCCGGTCGGGAAGTGGTTAAAGGAATGCCGTCAAACAAAATACTTTGGCGCTTTTATGTATGTAAAGCTGTATGGAATATGCATTTATTTTTTTTCTTTAAATTCTTGGTGATTATTCTTGCAGAGTAATTGGTTTCAGGTCTGTCTTAATATGCTGTTTTTGGAGTTAACATTGCATACTTTCATATATCTTTCATTGGTCACTGACTCCATAGCACAGGGCGTTCATCAATGTCTCTTCTATAACTTCTTAATCTGCCTTCTAACACCCCTAATAAATGTTTCAGAACATTTTATCAGTTCCATATGAGTGCCATCAGCCTGGAAATGCTTTGGTAAGATTGTACTCCTAAACTGGAGGAAATAAGTCAATTGTGGCTGTAACTGTTTTGTATTAAAGTGTACCTGTTCTCTCATACACAATGTAGGGCAAACATTTTGGAGACTGTGTCATGACTTGTAATGGCTTTTGGATATATAGGGCTTCTAGGCCTGATCTGACTGTTTAAATGTTGACTTGCTGGCATTTAGAGCAGTCTGAAACTCCTGGCACCAATAGAGGTTCTCCAGAGAAATGCAAACTTGCTAGTTCTTGGTTCTTAAGAACATTTGGCTCACTCTGCTGTTGTGAAGCTGGTATCTAATAAGCACAAAGCAGGCTCCATAGATACCCCAAAGCAGGCTCCATAGATACCCTAAGCCCAGGTTAACACTGGTGTGACTAGTTATGCGATTTGACAGTTCCAAACTGCATGACAAGTCGCACCCCATTGCCAGAAATGGAACCCTTCATGTTGCAGTGATTATGAAAAAAGTTTCCTGCACTACTTTTTGCCAATTTCCTTGCAACTTGCATAGACTTTTGCTATATGAAGTCGCAAGCTGCAATGAAAATACAAGCCACACTCATATGCGGCTTTGAAATCGCACTGAAGTAGCGTGATTTCAAAGCCACACCAGTGTGAACTGGGTCTTAATCTGTTCTCCAGGCATATTTTTATAGCCAAAAGTACTCGACTCCTCTTTAGGATGTCCACACAAAATGACAAAGATAAGAAAGCTTCACCATCAGTCCTTAACCACAATACATCCATGTAATGAATTAAGGGTTAATTGTGGTTGCTTTGTTTGAAAGGCAGAAGTCTGTCACTTATTATACAGGATCCATTAGCGCCAACAGTTTGCGCAGCGCTTTACAAAATGAAGGTAGACATTACAGTTACAATACAATTTGGTACAAGAGGAAACAGAGGGCCCGGCTCATTAGAGCTTACAATCTAGGAGGAAGGGTTGAGTGATACAAAAGGTAATAGCTGTGAGGGATGAGCTGATGGAGGAAATAAATGGCAGTTTACTAGTTAGAAGCAGGATATGCTTCTATAAAGAGAGGTTTTCAGGGATCGTCTAAAGCTGGATAGATTAGGAGATAGCCGGACAGATTGGGGTACAGAGTTCCATAGGATGGCAGAAGCTCGGGAGAAGTCCTGGAGGTGAGCATGGGAGGAGGTGACATGGGAACTAGAGAGCAGAAGGTCTTGGGAGGATCAAAGAGAGCTGTTTGCCCCCAGCTACATCACCAACCTGGTCTCAAATATCAACCAGAGTTGTGGATGTCAGGGATGTGGGTGTGACCAGAAGTGTGTGGACTGACACAGGGAAACGTAGGCTTCAGATATAGTAAATAATATAATTTATTGAGACTAACGTAGTCAGGCAGGCCGGGTCGATAACTATCGGGCAGGTAGGTACAGGAGAGCAGGCGGAGAGAATGGTCAGGGTCACAAGCCAGGGATCAGGCAGGGTCGGCAACAAGTCAGGCAGGAACAGGAATGCAGGTTACAAGATACAGGGCCCATGGAAAAACACACACCAAGGCACAGACTGCAGGTCTGGCCATCCCTTAAATACACCTGCAATCAGCCCCAGGTGATGGCTAATTGCCGAAGTGAACCTCTGGTTGTTGAGAGCACCCGCTGGCCAGCCCTGGTACTGCAGCCCACAAGGCAGGTGAGTCCCACCACTATTGGCAAGTCCATTCCTGACAGTGGATGGCTTTGTAAGTTGTTGTTTGTATTTTGAATTTTATTAAAATATGTGATTTTTTTTTTTTTTCCCCGGTTTTTTTTTACGGTTTTGTAGATTTTTATACTTAGGAGTCTCCAAACATACTAAACCAAGGGCCAGTTTACTGTCTTTCATACTTTAGAAATGCTTAACTGTTAAAGGAGAAAATGTTTAAGGCTTCCTCCTTTAATATCATGTGACCAAAGTACTAGGCATTTGGTTTAAAATCTCAACTGAAAGGAAAAGTTCAGACTGGATGATCTACCTCAGCAAAGGCCTTGTGACCAAATGCTTGTACTACGGGAGCGAGGGAAAAATTGTAAAAGTTTTCTGACCTGTCACTCCACTCAAAAAGGTACAAAAGCCACATAGCCGCACTGAATGTCATCACCGTTTTTCGATATGAAAACAAAACCATGAGAGCCCCTTAAGGATCCTAACCAGTATACCCCCACCTAGTTGTGTCTGAGTGCAGCTGGACATTTACTGTTAAAGATGCTAGAATTTTTCCACTTCATAAAGAATTTGTAAGAAGCAACAATAGCAGGGCCTAGGTGTGAGACATTTCCAGATGTATGTTTTTTATATGTATGTAATTCTGTTTTGCAGTTAAGATATCAGCATTCACTTGGGACCCCGGACTTACGACTGACTCTTCCAAACCTCAAAACTTTCTTAGAGCATGGCTTATTGGTCAGATGGTGAGTATGGGGTATCAGTAAGGAGCTGCAGTGGGGTTTTTAATTAATGGCGTGGTGCCTGTTCCAACCTGGATAGCTTTAAGTCTAAATTTTTCTTGGTGACCCTGTCACTGCAGGATCACGTATGAGGCCTGCCCCAAGAAGCTCATCTATATATACCTTTCCAAAGCTTGTCTCTTGTATCACTGCTGCTTACTCCCTACTGGTCAACCATTCCAGATCTGTGAAAACTGTTCCACTCGAGACACGCAGTGCTTTCTCCCAGCAGCCATTAGTGTTGTACAAGCCGATGTTCGGAGTAGATATTTACACCTCAACATTTTTAAAAAGCATGCAATGTTTTGTATTTAATTTAGTACCCTTATGATTTTCCTATGAGTATATACAGTTTTGTTCAAAATAATAGCAGTCAGACATCACTAACCGGATCAATCACTGTTTTTGGTAGAAATGATATTTCTACATGGCAAATAATTTACTAGCAGGTGTAGTAGAGTAATAGAAATCCAACAGACCCAACAGTCATGACATGCATGCTGCTGATTCTGTGTAATTGAATCACTCATTGAAAGGGGCATGTTCAAAATAATAGCAGTGTGGAGTTCTATTAGTGAGGTCATTCATTCTTTGAAAAACAGGTGGCAATTATTGCCCTTATTTAAGGAAGGAAGGCAGCAAATGTTGTACATGCTGGTTACAGTGCATTTCTCTCTGAAATTCTGAGGAAAATGGGTCATTCCAGACATTCTTCAGAAGAACAGCGTACCTTGATTAAAAAGTTGATTGGAGAGGGGAAAACCTATAAAGAAGTACAGAAAATGATAGGCTGCTCAGCTAAAATGATCGCAAATGCTTTAAAATGGCAACCAAAACCTGAAAGATGTGGAAGAAAGCGAAAAAACTACCATTCGAATGGATAGAAGAATAGCCAAAATGGCAAGGACTCAGCCAACAATCAGCTCCAGGAAGATGAAAGAAGGTGTAAAGTTCCCTGTGAGTACTGTTACAATTAGAAGACGCCTATGTGAAGCCAAGCTATCTGCAAGAAGCCCCTGCAAAGTCCCACTGTTGGAAAAAAGACATGTGCTGAAGAGGTTACAATTTGCCAAAGAGCACATTGACTGACCTAAAGAGAAATGGCGCAACATTTTGTGGACTGATGAAAGTAAGATTGTTCTTTTTGGGTCTAGTGGCCGGAGACAGTTTGTCAGATGACCCCCAAACACTGAATTCAAGCCACAGTACACTGTGAAGACAGTGAAGCATGGTGGTGCAAGCATCATGATATGGGGATGTTTCTCATACTACGGTGTTGGGCCTATTTATCGCATACCAGGGATCATGGATCAGTTTGAATACATCAGAATACTTGAAGAGGTCATGCTGCCTTATGCTGAAGATGAAATGCCCTTGAAATGGGTGTTCCAACAAGACAACGACCCCAAACACACCAGTAAATGTGCAACCTCTTGGTTCCAGACCAAGATTGACGTTATGGAGTGGCCAGCCCAATCCCCGGATCTTAATCCAATAGAAAACTTGTGGGGTGACATCAAAAATGCAGTTTCTGAGGCAAAACCAAGAAATAGAGAAGAACTGTGGAATGTCCAATCATCCTGGGCTGGAATACCTGATCACAGGGGCCAGAAGTCGGGTGACTCCATGCAACACAGATGTACAGCAGTTCTCAGAAACAGTGCGACTACAACCAAATATTCATTAAGTGATTGAAGATTTTGCTTTCCTTTGAAACATTTTTCAGTTTATATAGTGAATGTTTGAGTTTGTAAAGAAGAATACAACACAAATTTGATCTATTTTTCTTCATGTTTTGATTTGGAATAGAATGTGTCGTGTTCCAAATGCATTTGTGTGGATGGAAATAAAAGCTATTAGAAGGATGTTGAGCTTTATTCACTTTTTTCAACACACTGCGATTATTTGGACACAACTGTATATTGGCACATCTTCAATTTTCTGTAGCGGAGTGGGTTTGTCTAGTGAGATTCAGCACTCACTAAGACACATTGTTTTGTAATGGTGTAAACATTTTTCCTACATCTTGATTATTCTTATAATGGAACTGGTCATTGAAAGTTTTACTGATGGGTAAGACAAGTAGACGCTATAGACATCCGTGTAGGACAGTCCATCAGCCATCTTTTTGTCAACACTGAGCCGTGTTGTTTAGGCTGACTACACTGTCACTCTTCAGCAAGCACTTACACTTTTTTTTTTTTTTTTTTTTTTAATTTAATGTTAAATGCTGCCAACCTAAAGGCGAGAAGTGACTGTCATTCTCACATGGTTCAGCATAGTCAGCAACACTTAAGAGTTTTCTGATGGCTGCAACCCAACTAAAACATGGCCATTAATAGTCCTTGCTACAGTGATGTCATAGCTTTTCCAAAAAAGGAAAGATTGAGACCATGTAAAACAAAGCAGTGGTTTGGCAGGAATGTGTTTTCATGCCACATTGTTTAGTTGTGGGTTTGGCTGTCCTCCAGGCAATCAAGATTGACTGTCCTTGACCAGCTGCAATGTAGTCCACTGTGTAGAATGTTTGTTAGAAGCTAGATGCTTAGTTGGGGTGGCTCATCTGCACCCAGTTTTCCCTGGATTTTAAGTCACAGATCCAGAACAAGCATGCAACAGCTGAAATCTGGACTCATGATCTGTGAAAATGGCCATACACATAGCTTTTATAGTCGATTTAAACCACTTTCTGTGCACTGAGAATTGATCCCAAGTAATTGCCAGTAAAGAAGCAATCTACTACCCTTGAGTTTGATTAACTACCAAAATATAATCCAAGGGGGATTGGAACAACAAAAATGTTTTTGAATGTAACCAGACTTTCTGCTGGGTGCGATATAAGCATTTTTGATACGCACTCCTTGCAGTTGATTTTAACCAACATTTTATCTCATTGATTGCTTTGGCGATTTCAGGCAACATAAGGTGATAGATCTTCTAATTCTACAGTATGACATTTTAAAAAAGACAAATCAATTATTTATACCAATCATCCATAACATTATGACTACCTATTATAACCCATCGAGGCACAGACTCCACTAGATGATATGCTGTGGTATCAGGCACCAAGCTGACAGTAGCAGCTACTTGAAAGTGTTCCTAAACCCACAACAGTAAGATCAGTCTGTATATGCAGTAAAGCATGCTTGTTATGACTGTGGAACCTAAGGGGTTAATCCTTTGCATTAACAGTATAGAAAGAAAGTGAGCGCTCTTTAGATCAGCAGCTATAGCACCAAAGACAACCAATAAAAAAACCTACAAACAATCATAACAAAAAAAGGTGCAGTGCTAGTAGAATCCAAATAATGGTGCTCCAAATAGTGTTGTAGAATTACGCACTCACCAGATGCGTAATGTGTATACGCAATAGATGCGTAATGTACATACCCATATATTGCGTATATACATTACGCATCTGGTGAGTGCGTCATTCTACCATACTATTTGAAGCACCATTATTTGGATTCTACTGTTTTCTTGCACTCAGATCTGCATAGACTGACACCTTTTAATTTGGCATAATAATATATTATAAAACACTAGTAATTTTTATATTTATGTCTCTAGCGCTGCACCTTTTCTTTTTGTTGTAATACTATCAGGAATGGACTTGCCAATAGTGGTGGGGACTCACCTGCCTTGTGGGCTGCAGTACCAGGGCTGGCCAGCAGGTGCTCTCAACAACCAGAGGTTCACTTCGGCAATTAGCCATCACCTGGGGCTGATTGCAGGTGTATTTAAGGGATGGCCAGACCTGCAGTCTGTGCCTTGGTGTGTGTTTTTCCATGGGCCCCTGTACCTTGTAACCTGCGTTCCTGTTTCTGCCTGGCTTGTTGCCGACCCTGCCTGATCCTGACCTCTGCTGACTTCTCCTGTTTGATCCCTGGCTTGTGACCCTGACCATTCTCTCCGCCTGCTCCTCCTGTACCTACCTGCCCGATAGTTATCGACCCGGCCTGCCTGACTATGTTGTGCTCTATATGTGTATGTACCTCTGTATCTATATCAGTTTAGGTTTGGGTTTGTTTTGTTCACCTTGTTGTATGTATTTGTGTTAGCTTGGGGTTTGGTGCACTGCGTTTTATTTTGTATTGTTAGTCTAAATAAATTGTCTTATTTATACCATATCTGAAGCTTGCGTTTCCCTGTGTCAGTCCACACATCTCTGGTCACACCTGCATCCCTGACAAATACTCTGCATTGTGTAAAAAGGATGTTTGACCCTGACTTCTCTGCACCTTCTATTGTTCAAATGTCCACATTGATAAGACAGACTAAACCCGTAGCCCATCTGCACATGCTCAGTTTAGTGTGTATGGCTACAGAGGGTTTTTTTTCTTGGGAGAGTGCATGTGATCAGCACAGGGCCAGTCAGCACTGTGCAGACAGAGGTCAGGGGTTTTGCATCCTCCTAGAGCAGAAAGAAAACTTCAACAAGCTTTGAGACCATGGCTAGGCTGTATGGTCTGTTATAAAAATCTGCTCAGATCCCAGCTACAAAGCTTTAGCCCATGGAGGGTTGTACAGGAAAAAAATCCAAGTGGTGATGCAAATTGCCACATTTGGTCTGCTATAGTCCTATATTCAGCTCAAAACTGTGAGAAGCAGCATTTCTGGTTTGAGCTTTGTGAAGGAGTCATGTTGGACTAGAGATCCACATACTGCCGCACTCTGTGTCAAAAAAAAATAAAAAATAAAAAAAATAAAAAATCACTGAAATTGTTAGTTTCATGTAGCCTGGCTGCATTATAATTAAAAAAAAAAAAAAAAAAGTTCACTTGGGTTTATTATATTCTAGTAGATCAATAAAATGAATTCCTTGTGTGTTGTGGTATCAGAACATTTTCTTTAAAATTATTTTTCTTTTCTTTCAGTGATCGACATCATATCTCAAGTGCAATCCCTGTACCAAAGAGGCCGGCCAGCTCCACATTTGGAAGCCACGATGTTGGCTTTTCAAGCCGAACCCCAACACCTGAGAAAGGACCAAGGAAAAGGGCAAGCTCTGAGAACGAAAAAAAAAACTCAGTACAGAACCCCTCCTCCAAGCTACAAGGCGGCAGTGGCTGAGCCCATTGCGATCTTGGTTCCGGCAGAGAAAGGACATTTTGCCTCCTCTCTAGATGCGGGCATTGATCTGTCCAAAGGAAGTGGTCACAAAGATTTCAGTGAAAGCCTCAATGGAGACAGTAGAGCAACACCTGAGAGCCATGATCGCAGTCATGACGAGCAGTTCTCAGACTCTTCTAGCGCCGTCAATGGGACTTTATTACAAAATGAAAGTATGGAGTTTGTGAGTGAAGGCCTCCCCTGTATCCTCCATCCCTCACAAAGTGCCGATCTGCACTGTGCAGTGGAACAGGCCGAGGAGATTCTTGGTACTGAAGCAGCAGATTTCACCTCAGGAGATCAACTGGAGGCATTTAATAGCATTCCCGTAGACCACGCCGTGGCTGTAGAGTGCGATGAGCAAGTGTTAGGGGAGTTTGAAGAGTTCTCCCGTAGAATTTACGCACTGAATGAAAGCATGTCAAGTTTCCGTAGACCTAGAAAAAGTTCTGACAAATAGCAGACCCATCTTTGGTGGATCTTTATACCAACAGAAACAGAAGATTGATCTTTTGCACATCATATCGATTATATCTGAGACCGCAAACAACTTCTGCTCATAAGGACGTTCTTCAGTTAATATCTGTTTAGGTTTCATTGTTGCAGTTTAATTTCTTCATATCCATTGTAATATGTGTATTTTTTTTTCCTTAAACAGCTTGATTGATGTGCACGAGTTCAAAATAAACATTCTAATCTCTCGCAGTACATGTGCAACAGGTGCCTAGAGGGTCCTACATGAATAGTCACATACCTCCCTAAAGGATTTGTATAGACATGACCCAAATGTCCCCCCAAACCTCCCTCTTTCCTTCCACATAATATAAAGCTATATTTTTTTTGTTTTTTTATTATTTCCTGTGATGTCAATGAGCTTGTAAAATTCTTTCTTGGAGCTCAGTAGCTGTTGTCACAGGAATGCCCCCGTGGACTACATCTCCCATTAACTGTTTTTACACACAATGTGAAGGCAGGCTCTTGGGAATGAAGGATGCAGCATTGTTTATCTAGGAAAAAAATTCATCTATGCATGTAGAGTGGGACAATGCTGCTTAGGATTTCTGAACAAAAAAGACGACATGTCAGTCCATATAGAAAGCTTGGAGCAATCTGGACTTTTGTCAGGATCAATGGATAATTTCTTGCAATTGTAGCTTTTGTTAAACGTGAGAAAACACAGAGGAAATTTGCTCCTATTGCAGTGAAGACTGATTTTTTTTTTTTTTTTTTTTCCCCCTGACATTCAATTGAAATCTTAGTGTTCCAAAACTCCTGTTCTAAATCAACTTTATATCTCCAGTAGTCAAAAAATCACCCACACCTCACTACTACACAAGTACAGTAATCAGTCTTTCTGGCCAATTAGGAGGCTCAGATTGGTACAAGTATGAACTTATGGGGGCTGATTTACCAAAAGAAAACAGCCTTTTCACTTTGCAAGGATTTTTACTCTTAGCACAGCGAATGTGGTGAAAATTCACTTTCGTTTTATTTTCCCTGCACATAATCAGGTATACATTGCAAACAATATTTTTGCACATGATTGGATGTAGGAAGTCAGCAGCGCTTCACCTCATTGACGAAGCTAAGGGAAAATTCTATTGCAAAGTAAATAGCCTATTTGCCTTTAGTAAATCAATGCCATGGTCACACAGGATGGTTGAAATTTGGGTAATGATGCCCATGTTTTGAACGTCTGGTATGGTTTGAGGTATGTGACTGTGCATGCATCACCTCCCAGGGTGGGCGTCTACTGTACAAGTATTGACAGGTTATAATGTGTTTAAGTGATTATAGGTTTATTATTTATGAGAATCCCTCATTCCTAGTCTGATTACAGGGTGCTGTAATTCCAATCTCACCTACTACACTACTGAGTACACCAGAACTTTTGGATGCATTGGTTCTCTTTAATGGTCATTATACAAATCGAGTAATAGTTAGCCATTCATAGGAGCAGTTTCGCTTCACATTCCAGCTGTCATTTTTGCACTTACATCAGGTAGCAATGTTGGAGTTCAGTGGAGAACTGGCCATAACTTTAACCTCCGCTATCATGGAAATTAACGTCACAGGCTGGAGCTGTGCTGGACTGGAGTAGGCTAAGCAACTTCGTTATCCTGCGGCCTACTTTTTCTAATAATGCGAACTGGTTGACCAGGGTTGAAGCTAGATAGCCAGACCAATTTTCACTGCTTATTATGACAAGAATAGACATTTGACAAATGCCAGCAATGGAAAGGTGCATTTTGCTACATGAAAAGATTCTTCTTGCATAGAAATTCCTTTCCACTGACGCCAGATAGCCCTAACTTTGCTTTAGGGTTCATTCATCTAACCGTGAGATTTGACAGACAAAACACGTTTGTTCATTATTGCAGTTACTATTAGAGGGTTCAGTGCTTTCCCATTTTTTGTTCTTCATAAAAATGACCAAAACCTGCTTTACTTACTGTGAGCAAAACTTCCTGTGTTTTGGAAACTCATCCCCATTTTAAATTGGCTTGTTGATGTAGGGTCTCCTGTAAAACCAGAAGACACAGTTCTCCTTGGAAAGAAAGATCAGTTGAGCTTATTGGAAAACTTTGTACAATAGCTGTTACATAGTCTGGCTGAAAAAAGACAAAAGGCCATCCAGTTCAACCATTAAAATAAAAAAAAAAAAGTTTTAATCCCATGCCCACAGTTGATCCAGAGGAAGGAAAAAAAAAGCCCCAGCAAAGCATGATCCAATTTTCTCCTGCAGGGCAAATTTCTTCCTGATCCCCTGAGAGACATTCGGATATTCCCTGGAGCAACTTTACCTATAAATGTTAGTATCCGGTTATATTCTGTGTATCTAAGAAAGAATCCAGGACTTTTTTTGAAGCAATCCACTGAGCTGGCCAGAACCAACTCTTGAGGGAGTCTATTCCACATTTTCACAGCTCTCACTATGAAGAAACCTTTCCGTGTTTGTTGAGATTACATTTCTTTTCCTCCAGACGTAAAGAGTGCCCCCTTGTCCTCTGTGATGACCTCAGGGTGAATAACTCTACACCGAGTTCACTATATGAACCACTGATGTATTTATACATGGAGATCATATCCCCCCTTATGTATTATACATGGTGATTATATCCCCCCTTATGTATTATACATGGAGATCATATCCCCCCTTATGTATTATACATGGAGATCATATCCCCCCTTATGTATTATACATGGAGATCATATCCCCCCTTATGTATTATACATGGAGATCATATCCCCCCTTATGTATTATACATGGTGATCATATCCCCCTTATGTATTATACATGGAGATCATATCCCCCCTTATGTATTATACATGGTGATCATATCCCCCTTATGTATTATACATGGAGATCATATCCCCCCTTATGTATTATACATGGAGATCATATCCCCCCTTATGTATTATACATGGAGATCATATCCCCCCTTATGTATTATACATGGAGATCATATCCCCCCTTATGTATTATACATGGAGATCATATCCCCCCTTATGTATTATACATGGAGATCATATCCCCCCTTATGTATTATACATGGTGATCATATCCCCCCTTATGTATTATACATGGTGATCATATCCCCCTTATGTATTATACATGGAGATCATATCCCCCCTTATGTATTATACATGGTGATCATATCCCCCTTATGTATTATACATGGAGATCATATCCCCCCTTATGTATTATACATGGAGATCATATCCCCCTTATGTATTATACATGGAGATCATATCCCCCTTATGTATTATACATGGAGATCATATCCCCCCTTATGTATTATACATGGTGATCATATCCCCCCTTATGTATTATACATGTTGATCATATCCCCCCTTATGCATTATACATGGAGATCATATCCCCCCTTATGTATTATACATGGAGATCATATCCCCCCCTTATGTATTATACATGGAGATCATATCCCCCTTATGTATTATACATGGAGATCATATCCCCCCTTATGTATTTACATGGAGATCATATCCCCCTCATTATGTATATCATGGAGATCATATCCCCCCTTATGTATTATACATGGAGATCATATCCCCCCTTATGTATTATACATGGAGATCATATATCCCCCCTTATGTATTATACATGGAGATCATATCCCCCCTTATGTATTATACATGGTGATCATTTCCCCCCTTATGTATTATACATGGAGATCATATCCCCCTTATGTATTATACATGGTGATCATATTCCCCCTTATGTATTATACATGGAGATCATATCCCTCCTTAATCTCTTCTCTAGAGAGAATAAATTCAGTTCCTCTAATCTTTCCTCATAGCTGATCTCCTCCATGGATCTTATCAGTTTGGTTGCCCTTCTCTACTTTCTCCAGTTCCCCAATGTTCTTTTTGTGAATCGGTGCCTGTTGTCTCTCATAATGTAATCTAGGTCTCTGAGGTGAGGTGCCTCCTTCCCGTGCCCCTTCTAGCCTCCATATCATAAGGATGCAATGCTTGGGGGACCAACCCAACGGATCCATATGAGCTCAGGTCATGCTTGTACATCCAGTCAGCATTTTGGCAGGAAATTTATAGTAATAAACCTTGACTGGTCCTCAGTCCATATGTCTCCATTCACATGGGTGACCATTATACACATACAGCTAAGTGGGCATAAGTATATTTGTATAGCTTAAACCAAATGTCCACAGTATTAAAGTGTAAGCATAAAGCCAAAAACTTTTTTTTTTTTTTTCCATGTGTTGGATGAAGTAAGGAAGGATGAGAACCTCATGTTGAGTTTTTATTGCTTTCTTGGTCCCTGCTGCATAGAATCATGCTCTCTATTTGTGCGGAGGACACATCAGAAACAGAGTGATGGAAAACTTCTAAATTTTACAGATTCTGTCCGGAGCTGCACAAAGGCTTTTTTTTTTTTATCCTAATGCAGAGCAGGTTAAAAAAAAAAAAAAAAAAGATTTCAGCCTTTAGAACCACTTTAAATATTTGAGAATCCAGTATTCTGTTATTGAACACATTCCATTGTCTTCTGTAGATAACTTTAGACAGCATGGCATTTAAGCATTTTTCTTTCGGTAAAGTCATCACTGGATGACACATCTCCAGCACCTGCAATTTAAGGGCCCATTCATACAGGCGCTGTACGCTGAGCAGGCAGATTACAGGTCCATGTGTGCTTGTGTTGCTTGCAGTGGACACACACAGCCCGTTCTCTGTGGGGCAGTTGGATGTAAACATGCAGGTGGTCCGTTTACATGCAACTGTCATCTGTTCCAATCCACTGGACAGATGGGGAACGGATACTCCATCTGTCTGGTTTTTATGGGATCGGATGCAGGCAGGTGTAAATGGGACATGTCCGTTCATATCCACTCCTCCATAGAGAACAATGGATGGTCCTGTCTTTTTCGTTCGGACCTCATCGGTCCTCCTGTGTGAAAGGGGCCTAAA